ATACCAGCTCAAAGACAAGAGCTCTCCTAAGGAGTGTTACAAGTAAAGGTTTCTCTTCAGAGTTATGTATGGCAATACCGATTCCGGGATCTTCACTCATCGTCAGACGATGGCAAAGTTCACGTTCAGCTCGTTTTCCGAGATGATAGATCTTTAGACCCGGCTAAACTTGAGACAAAGGTATGATTGATGAAAAGCCACATTTGTTCGGTCCAAAATCACTTAGAAATGTTGAACTTTTTCGTTCAAGAAATTTCATGCTCCTAAGCCCTGCTTCTTCCAAGTGCTAACAAACTTACCCCTTTTTGATTTCAGGATATCGAATGTGACGAGGTTTTGGCCGTGACGTACAATCTGCACTCCTTCCTTGTCACAAAAATTGTCGCCGCCGATCCTGACTTTCTCAAGCAGAATCCACTTCTGTAAATAAACATTATCTTTTTGCATGTATTATCATCTCCTGTGGACATTCTAAAGTATAGAACCTGTCGGTCATCCAAAGCAAGCTAATATGTGATGCTCATGAAAGGAGAGTAATTAGGGGTAAACCAACAGAGACTGTTTGCACAATTCATTTGCAGGAAATAGGGTAATCCTGATTAAAAGACTACGATATGGTTATTGAATATAACGTGTGGAAATGGTTGTATTAGGTTGTTTCATTGTTAGACTAGATATCTTTGAATGTTTTTTGATATTATTTTTCCTGTTTTATTTTTGAAGTACTAAAAAAGTTTTCATATATTAGAAGGGCCATCAAAAGGTCGGGAATTCATGAAATGATTAAAAATTCCAAGTCATTTTCCTACCATGCGCAATAGGAGCCAGCGCCCTCAAACCAGTAGCTCAAACGGTTACGAAGTGTGATGTTTCCCAAACCTAAACGATTGTCGCTCAGTTCGTTGCGTCAGGATTTGACAAAGACGCCGCAACTTGCGTTACGCTCATTAACCATTCATCGTAATTGTTGCGCTCCACGCAAATACGCAATGAAAACAATACGCTGTGAGATAGAACTTAGGTGTTTCCTTCTTTTGTTCTTTCCTGTCATCTATCTAGTGTGAAAAGAAGGAAAGACTTTCAGATGGGAATGGTGCTTCC